GGGGGGGGGGGGGGGGGGGGGGGGGGGCAGGCATACAAATCTGGCATTAAATGTTTGATACATTAACTTCATCACAATGTATTCTGTTTCGTTTGTTTTCATGTTTTGATGAATAGAAATGATCTGTACGGGACATCAAATGTGTACTGTTAAGAAGTTATGGACTTAGAAACCTAGGACATTCAACATACAAAATTCCTCTATTCTAAGCTAGTTTGGAAGAGTTATCAGTCCAATAATCATACAAATCCAAGAACTGGATGGATAAGGTGATTCACTTGTATTTACTGAAATCTTAGATCTACACAACCCTGAGGTGAGAGTTGACACTGACCAGTTCTGGGTGATATCCACCATATCATATTGCTTTCCAATTATAAATCACTCCTATACACCCAGACTAGATGGGTAATACATTTACCTGGTATGTACTGGACAGACACACTCTACTGATGGGTAATACATGTACCTGGTATATATGGACAGACACACTCTACTGATGGGTAATACATGTACCTGGTATGGACAGACACACTCTACTGATAGGTCTGTAACCTGACGAAAGAGGCGAGGTCTAGAGAGGACTGCAGGGGAAGTTGTCGACTCATTACCATTGCTAAAAACTATACGATCACGAAACGGATTTAACGGAGTGACAACGGATGCAAAACCCTCTCCGGACCTCCCCCTATTACAATCATAATGAACCTTTATTAACCATGTGGCCAGTTAAATGGTCCAACTGGCCCATACCTAGTGTGCCTGCGGATCCCAGCTGGAAGCAGCATATGTATATCAGAATGAAAGAATGACATGTACTCAAGATACAAAGTAGTTATCTTTTAAAAGTGTTAACATATATTTTCATCAGGTTTTTTATGACTGAAGAGATTTTTCTGTGTACTTTGGAAATTGGGTTTTGTAAAAAAATTGATCACAGCATACAAATTGGAAGCATCCTAATTAAAATGACCATTTTTCCTTTTCATCATGCATCCTTCTATATTCCTTTTTTTAAGAAAATAAGATTTTTTTAGTGTAAAATAATATCTTTTTTTACAGCCTCCACAAAGTAAAAAGAGTATAAAGATTCTTTAAGAAGTTGACAAATATCTGGAAAGCCTTGTGTTCTGCAATCTTATTCTCGGTTGAGATCCCTTATAGCTCACTCCTAAGGGGGTGAAATTAAACATTCCATTATTCTTACATATGCAATACATAATTGCCCAAGTTGAATCCATTATAAAAGCAGAGTTGTGTTATTAGCTAGAAATCCCACCACTTGCAGGTAAATGAATTCCCACCTCTCTTTTCTAACCTCCAGTACACAATCTCCAATCAATAGCATTGGTCAATATAGACTTTACACACAAACCACAATAGGTTTTATCAATGCACCTGTTTTTTCTATAATTAGATCTGCCTTCATCTGTCCAAGCACTGAGTGACCTAGTAGGTGTAAACACGAATATCAAACCTACAACAGTGTTCCTGGTCCAGTGTGCCACATTGATTTATTCTCATACTAAACAGTGCTAATATAAATCCTACACACATTTTTTGTTTGAATAGCAATAACTACAAAGAATAACAAAGACAGCAGTTAGTATTGGTAATTTCAATCAGAGCAGAATTCCTAGATAAACACGTCAAAAAGTGTTTCCTCAATGAGATCCCAGTTTCAAGACTTGGATAATTCAATAAAACCCTGTGCATCTATCGAAAGTTGTAGCATCAGGTACTGATATCACAAGACAGGTTTATACACCAATAAGTGTAAATCTTTTGTTTGAAAATATATATATGATAAATTAATTGCTAATTTCCAGCTAAACAAATATATATGAAGCATGTTACTTCAGATAAACAATGATGAAGTTAAATTGTCTAAGACTTTATCGCTGGGTATACTGCTCTATATATATATACATGATAATACCTACCAGGTATGTCACCCGGGACTTACCATGAGTTCATGAAGCCTCGACTCCCACAGGGCACAGTAAACGCCCGTACTGGCAGGACGCGAGGTACCATTTCTGTGCCCCCCTCTAACACGGACATCCCTACCCCCCTCAGTTGGACTGAGGGGCAACACTTGTACGTCCCTTCCCCCGTCAGGACGGCTCCGAGTCTGCACCCAGTCGGAGTAACCCTGGGGTGACAACCAATCACTATGTCCCATGGGTGACACTCGGTCTGTATAGCCCAGTGGCGACAACCTGTCGGTGTACACAGTGGGTGATAACTTGTCTGAAGGATTCAAGGCAGACGGTTTGTTATGTTTATCCATAATGACGTAACTCACTTTCGTAAAATCCTCAAGTGTTTATTTCTCACATCAAAAGGTTGTGTGTTAAATCGTTTCTGACAACAACAGCATCACAATAACTTTGAGATTCTACTTCATACCCCAGACCAACACTCTGTCAATCACTAATACTGGAAAGAATAGCACATCGTACCCCAGACCAACACTCTGTCAATCACTAATACTGGGAAGCAATCAATCNTCACTAATACTGGAAAGAATAGCACATCGTACCCCAGACCAACACTGTCAATCACTAATACTGGGAAGCAATCAATTTGCTGGAGAATCTCAATGAATTTAATTGAATCCCAAACTCAAATAATTCCAAATTCAGTAAATTGAACAGCAGATGAAGATTGATTCTAAAAAACAAACAATTTTTGTTCTGTTGTTAAAAATCTGTCATAAGGCACCAGACTCAGAAGATCTTCAGTCTTGTTCCAACAGACTAGCTACGTATGGTATTCATTAATGAATGCAATTTTATAGTTTACTCCAAATAGATCACACATCACTTGTCAAATTCCTGAAGGTTTCTCCTGTCAAGGAGGACACAAACTGCCAAATTTTCCTGTGACAGATGACAGTTCCAATTACCCCAAAGTCTCAGTTTTCAGTAGTAGATCCCGTTTCTGTGGAAATACTTCCTGTTGCGAATGTACACAAGAGTACAACCAACACATCAGTACCTGTAAGTTGGAAGATTCTACAGAGGTGAAGCACAGAGACCTGTAGCACATACTCGGCACCCAAAGTCACGAACTGTGTTATATATAAAATATCTACATCACACTAAATCTTTCTGGGGAGGAAAAAAACACCAGCACAACAATTTGGCGATGATTTAAACACGTGTGCTGAGGATGTGGAATGGGCAATCACTCAGCTCTGAAGGATTAACAGCAAGTACCACAGTGAACCTTGTATTGGGAATGACAGAGCATGCTCTTTAGGGATCAGTTCCCAACTGCTACCATTGGTTCTACAGGCAGATAAAAACCAACAAACGTCCCCCTCCCCAGTACCGCTAGGGGAGCTGGGGGACCCATCATAAGGCAGCACTATCTTAACTCATCCTATAAGAGCACAAATATGATTAAGTGTTCAGATACATGTTCTACAATGTAGGCCATATCTAAATGTACTGCATCAAGGTTCATGGTCTGTATATTTATACAGCTGTATCACTACCATCACCTCAACCAAAACTTAGTAAACAGGGCACAAACATACAAAGCTATTAAAACTAGAAAATGTCAGGGGATAGCAGGAAGGGAGGCTACAAAGGTCTTTATAATATATATACATAGTTATGAAATGTGTACATATTAATATATACATTTCAACTTTTATTTTGAACAATTTTTAAACCAATAACAACTTCTATATTATTATTGAAATACAATAAAGAATTCTTTTTTAAAATGCAATAATACCTAATTTTGTCTCTTTTAGGCTTTTAACAGTAAATAATTTTTTATATTTTGAAATATGACCATAATCCTGAAATGAAATATAGCACTAATAGATAAACAAACTCAGGTAATGCTAACAAACTACACTGAAATATTATGTATTCTAATATACCTGATATAATATTAACACTTGCAACCTAAACCTATGAATTTGTTTTCAGTTTGTTTTACTTTAAACATATGTTATTGTCCAAAACTGTACAAAGAATTCAGTCTTTACAACTTATGAAGCTACATATAGCTATATCTGCTCAAGATTGGTTGTGCAAGTGTTTCAAAGGCAGACAATTACAGATCATAAAGAAAATCAAAATCAACATTTTAAAAATTAAACTCATGATCAAAATCTCCCATTTGGTAAATATATCATCTTTTTTATAAACAGTGTTTTACAAAAATTGTGAAATACTATTTTCCACCTTTTGAGTCTTTAGGCCTTCGGGCAGCTGGTGCTAGCCCTCAACTTACTGGTACTCCTACTTATAAATCCAGATTTATTGGTTTACATACTTTTACTTAAGATTTACCAAGTATACAAGTTTTAAATGATGTGTTTCTTTACCCTGAATTAATTCTCTTCAGAGTGAGCTAGATGTTCTGTATCCTAAAACACATCAAATTTCAGAAAAGTGATTCTACAAAATAACTTCAATCTGTCTTGTTCATTTTGATTGGATAGTCAGAGAAAAAAAAATCATCAGTGCACTCCCTCCAAAAGATTTCAATTTTACAAATCATATCATAATCCAAGGCAAGCTGCATCAATCTGTTCCATTATACAGTGCTAACTGCCCAAGGCTGTAGGAGTTGGAGGATTATGTTCCACAATTAAGGATCACTTATGACTAGGAATTAGAAATATCAAAGAAGATAATGACAAATCCTGCCTTTAGACAATATGTCTTATGTAGGTAGGTGTAACAGATCAACCATCTACAATGTTCATCTCTCTCTTCCTGTCTTATGTAGGTAGGTGTAATGGATCAACCAACTACAATGTTCATCTCTCTCTACCTGGCTTATGTAGGTAGGTATAACAGATCAACCATCTACAATGTTCTTCTCTCTCTACCTGTCTTATGTAGGTAGGTGAAACAGATCAACCATCTACAATGTTCTTCTCTCTCTACCTGTCTTATGTAGGTAGGTGTAACAGATCAACAATCTACAATGTTCATCTCTCTCTAGCTGTCTTATGTAGGTAGGTGTAACAGATCAACCATCTACAAAGTTCATCTCTCTCTACCTGTCTTATGACGGTAGGTGTAACGGATCAACCATCTACAATATTCATCTCTCTCTACCTGTCTTATGAAGGTAGGTGTAACGGATCAACCATCTACAATTTTCATCTCTCTCTACCTGTCTTATGAAGGTAGGTGTAACGGATCAACCATCTACAATATTCATCTCTCTCTACCTGTCTTTTGTAGGTAGGTGTAACAGATCAACCATCTACAAAGTTCATCTCTCTCTACCTGTCTTATGACGGTAGGTGTAACGGATCAACCATCTACAATATTCATCTCTCTCTACCTGTCTTTTGTAGGTAGGTGTAACAGCTCAACAATCTACAATGTTCATCTCTCTCTACCGGTCTTTTGTAGGTAGGTGTAACAGCTCAACAATCTACAATGTTCATCTCTCTCTACCTGTCTTTTGTAGGTAGGTGTAACAGCTCAACAATCTACAATGTTCATCTCTCTCTAGCTGTCTTATGTAGGTAGGTGTAACAGACCACACATCTACAATGTTCATTTCTCTCTACCTGTCTTATGTAGGTAGGTGTAACAGATCAACCAGCTACAATGTTCATCTCTCTCTTCCTGTCTTATGTAGGTAGGTATAACAGATCAACCATCTACAATCTTCATCTCTCTCTACCTGTCTTATGACGGTAGGTGTAACGGATCAACCATCTACAATTTTCATCTCTCTCTACCTGTCTTTTGTAGGTAGGGGTAACAGATCAACCATCTACAATGTTCATCTCTATCTACCTATAGCTACCAGCAATTCAACTGCAGGGTAACAATAAGAGAAATCTTTATAATACCTCAACTTTTAACATTTTAGTTTTATAAGGAAATTTGTTCCTGATTATGTTTATCGTCTTCGGGGGAATATCCATCAGGACAACCAAGACTCGCATATAGCTCAGACTCTGACATGAACCTTGCTCAGTACTCAGACTCTGACATGAACCTTGCTCAGTAATCAGACTCTGACATGAACCTTGCTCAGTACTAAAAGAAGTTTGACACTAAGGCATTTAGTGAATCTATGTCCATATTCTATGCCTTACAAACGTACAGGAAGAGAAGACTTGACCTTGCCTACCAGTCAGTGTGGTCAAGGTTTACTGCCCCTCTGATTTACTGACACCTTGGAGTATGTGAGTTCAGTGCAGACATTTAGGATTACCTCCCTTTCCATTGTCAAACATGACAGGCATAAAATGAGTGAATTGATTGAAAGTGGCACCAGTATTGGCTAGTAAGCAATATAAAGTTACCAGTTATTTCCAGGGAGATAAACAGCCGTCAAAGCTTCACTCCAGGAACGGTGTCTTGATGATAATTGAAACCGTCCAGTATGGCGATGAAAATCATCACTTCTGAAATTGATTGACATTATTCTAATCCTTTCAAATTGTTATAATTTGAATTAAAAACTCTTCTCAAAACTGATACATTTCATGGGGAAGTTATCATACTCTCAATCAGTAGTAGCAAATGGAATTAATTCCACTCCCACTAGAAAATGGCAAGGGGAGATAATCATACTCCTGCAAAGGGAGTTCAAAATCCTACTCTCACTTATTCAATGCTTATTCTCCATTCTGCCCATTTCATGGTGGGATATTGATACATAATTCATACCATTATTAGTTTGCTTCCGGTTACCAGATTTAACGTTGTAAAATCAGAGATCATATGAAGATAGGTGCCAAGGAAGAAACCTCAAAAAATGGAAAGTATTTGTATGAGCTGGTTTCATTGGTATTACTATTTAATGACCCAATACAGTATATGAGGAACCTGTTTATAAGTCAAGTATCATTTAAAACTTGAATACATTATCATGTCCTCGGTTATAGCATTCCTATTCTATTCGCTCCAATCAATAACTTACTGATCCCCATGATATTGTCTGTTGAATAGATTTCTTTTTTAAAAAAAAGTGTTGTTTTTTTGCAAACTTTGAGGCAAAAAGTAAATCTTTTAAAGGTTTACCTGATTGTGATGTTTTGTATAAAATAAAAGGGACTTTTATTCTAATAACTTTCTGACAATGTTAGCTTGTCATCACTGGAACCTATATATATATATATAATGTATAACAGAGTCCTTTGAGAATTGTCATCACTTCTAAAATAATTCATTAACAAAATGCATGTCTGAATCTTCTGAAAGATGATCTCCACAGAATTTTCTAACACATGATCATCAGAATCTTTATGCTGGATATTTTTTTTTATCAGGGGGAGGGTTCTTGATAATATTCTAACAAACATATGGAGGTTTAATGATCCTGGATCAATTTTCCTATGTCATAAAAGATAAATATATCACAATTTGGTTCCTCATTTACAAGGAAGTTCTTT